CAACACTACGACCACATGGCTTGAACAACAGGAGTTTATTTCTCACAGTTCCGGGGGCCGGAAGCCCAGGGTCAAGGTGTCGGCCGGGCAGGTGTCTCTGAGGCCTCTCTGTGGCTTGCTGACGGCCACCTTCTCCCGGGTCTTCACATGTCTTCCCTCTGTGCACACGTGTGTCTTGATCTCCCCTTCTCACGAAGATGCCAGTCACATTGGGTTAGGGCCACCCTGATGGCCTTGTTTTAACTTCGTTACCTTTTGAAAGACCCCGTCTCCAAATAGAGTCCCATCCTAAAGGTCCTGGGGGTTAGGACTTTAACGTGTGGATTTTGAGGGACACAATTAAGCCCTTAACAGATCTTCTTGCTTCAGTTCATGCTCTGCCTTTGCGACTGCTCCCCGCCCCCCAGAGAAAGGAGAAGGGCTCTGCAGAGGACGCTCCCTGCTCGGGGCAGCATCACACGGGGACCTTCCCAGGCTCCCTGGCTCTTTCGTAGAGTCATAAGTCAGACACTCTCCAGTGCCGACTCTGCACAGTCCAGGCTGCCAGAAGGAACACAAAGGGCCACCAGTGCTGTGAGGGGGGCGCCGGTGAGACCCTCCCTTTAGATACCAGGGCTCAGTCAGGCCACATTCGAGATGTGCAATATTATAATCCAAGGGGTCAGTGGGGCATAGCCAGGCATATACAGTGTCCAGGTATGGGGGCTTCGTAGCCCACCACGAGACCAGGAGTCAGAGGACCCCCTCCCCACGCACTCCCCTGCTCCCCACCCGTGCTCCCCACCCCATCCCAGCCATCATCAATGGTATGGGGGCCACACAGGGTGTCTTGGCACTAAGGGTTGAAAAACTAAAGGATCCTAGCAGGTCATGACCTCCAGAATACCGGGAATTCCTGATGTTTTATTAGGGTTTTGTCAGGAAAAGGGGACTAGAGACTTGGGGTGACAGCCCCTAACCACCCTGGTTTCAATGACATGGGAGAGCCTGTCCTGCTGCCCTTGAAAATTCAGTGTTACTTTCAAGTGTGGAGAGCCCTGTACTTTTATAAAATTGGGTTTTGTTTTAAGTGGGTCCTCCTGAGGGTAATCCAGAAATGAGGAGGAGGAGGAAGAAGATAAGGAGGAGGAGAAGGAGGAGTGGGGAGAGGGTAGAGGAGGAGGAGGGGGAGGAGGGAAAGAAGGGGGAGGAGAAGGAGTGGGGAAGGGAGGAGGGAGAGGAGAAGGAGTGGGGAGGGGGAGGAGGGAGGAGGGGAAGTAGGGGGAGGAGGGGGAGTGGTGGTATGAGAAAGCAGGGCTGGGTCTGGTAGTCGAAGCCCTGGGCTGTGCTGGCCTTTCCTTCTCTGGGCTCTCCAATCCTAAGACATGAGCCTCAGCACGACCCAACAAGTTTGCCCCCACAGAGGTGTCCCAGCACCTTGGTGCGTCTCGCAATCTTTGACATCAGATTCAGGGACAGTGGTTTTGATCATTCTAGAGCTAGAGCCGGCCCAACTCTAAGGCAGGATGGGCAGAGCCAGGGCACAGGGCTGGGCTTGGGACCCAACCTAGAGAACAGGTGACGTGGTAGCAAAGGGGTGGATGGGCTCCTGTCAATCTACTCTCTCTGCCTGTCCCCCACCAGGGCACTGGGCTGGTTGGCTGGAGGTCTGGGCCCAGCCCTCCTCGGAGACTCATATCATACGTGGCTCTGGGCAAGTCTCTTTACCCCTCTAACCCTCAGGCTCCCCATCTCCTAAATGCGGGAGTCAGACCGGGCACCTACGTTGAAGTCCATGAGCACAAAGCCCTAGGTGCCAGCCTCCGGGGCTGAACACACACGGGGACAAGAAGACAAGCCCATGGCCCTGCAGGAGGCAGGCAGCCTGCTGCAAGACAGGCTTGTTCACATACTTATTTTTCCCCCCTGAAATATATTTCTTTTATTTTTTTTATCGTTATGAAAGCAGTTCATGCTTATTATTTAAAGTATATATACAGCAAACACAGCCAAGGAAAGCAAAGGCAGAAACGGTCCCCATAAATCTCGCCCGCCCAGAGACAAGCACTGTTAGCACTGGGGTGGATGTTCTTCCAGACGTTTCCTAGGACTACAGAGACTCACACACGTAGGAACACAACACGATCACACACTGTTTATTCTTTCCAGTCCTCACGACCACTCGGGAGGCAGCTAGGAGCATTATTCATAACTTTGTATATGCAGGGACAGGGACTCAAGAGGTCGAGTCACTTTCTCAAGGTGGCAGGACTGCGAGGCCAGATTTGGCCAACACTGAGTGCAAAGCTCTTTCTCTGCACCTGTGTCTACAAGGGAGGGAGCCGGGCAGGTAAGCAAGGGACCGCGCCCCGCGGGAGCCAGGGACCCAGGAATTCACTTGGGGATAGCTGAGTCGGGGTCACCACCCTTGAGTGGTGTCCTTAGGAACAGAGTGGGCTCTGTCAGGTGCAGAGGCAGCTGGGAAGGTGCTGTAGGCAGACGGCAGGAAGGAGCAGGCGACGTCTCGAGAGCAAAGGGCCATGAAGTACACGGCTCCCTTGGCGAAGGGAAGCTGCCGGGCAATGGGATGTGCATAGGGGTGTGTGTGCGTGCATGTGTGTGTGTTTGTGCGTGTGTATGCATTGAGGGAGCTGGAGGGGGAGGTGGCAGGAGGTGACCTGGCTGGAGTTAGGCTGAGGGGGGCCATGAAATATCACCAGCTCACACTTTCTTCTGAAGGTGACGGAGAGCTATGAAGGTTCTTGATGGGCTATAGATGGATCTTTTAGGGGAACACTGGAGTCTGCATGGAGGGTTGGTTGGGGCAAGAGGGGCCAATGCTCTGAATATCTGATCGTCTGTCTCTCCTCAGTTAGCACCCCCCCCCCCAGGAGAGGGTGGCGGAAGGAGGGGGGAGGTCCAGGTCCCATGGGTCTTGGGGAGGTGGCTGTGTTCCCAAATACTCATCCCATAAAGAGCTCACCTGGTGGGCTAACGAGGAGGGACTGAAGCCAGAGATGTGTGTGGTGGAACAGCAGACGAGTAAGGGGGAGCGAGGGCTGATTTAACGGCAGCAAACCCTGCTGTGTCTCATTTCGGAACTCGGCTCTCCTGTCTGCGCCAACATCTGTCTGTGCCAACATCTGTCTGTGCCTGCTCCAGCAAGAGGTGCTGCCCCTTCGCGGCCTGGGCTTGGGTTGGCATTGCTTAAGTTTGCACTTGAGTGGGCTTTTGTCTAGGAGGATGGATGTCCTGTGCTCCAATCAGCCGGGCTGGGCACGCACCCCACTTTCTGTATTGTCTCATAGACATTAGAAAGGGCTGGGGGGTGCAGATAGAGGGGTCACATTTGTCAGGAACCTGGGCTACCTGGGTTAGCTGGGCAGGGTACACACCAAGGGCCAGTGCTGTGCATGTGACAGGCATGTGCAGATGTGGGAATGGAGTCAATGAATGGGTGACACGTGGGGACAAACACCTGCTCATGAGCATAGGTCGTGTAGCTGGGTGAGAGAATGAGTGGATGAGGCTAGACTGTGCCGCAGCAAAAACAAACAATACGTAGTTTCTGCTGTGCCACCTGTCCTTTGTGAGTTGGGGTGTCCACTTAGGTCCTCTGAGAAATGGGCTCCGGGACGGGAGCAGTTGTGTCTTTAACAGGGGAGACGCCAGGGGAGGGAAAGGGGGAGAAGCTGCAGCCCAGATGCAGGTCTGCAGCCTGCGAGAGGAGGGGAAGGGGAGACGGGGAAGGAAGAGCCTCAGACCACGGTGCAGTTCTGAGAAAGCCCGGACCAGGCTGATGGGAAGTCCCCGAACCAGAGCTGCTCGTTTGCTTTGGAATGGTAACGAGCAAAGCTCTTCCCTTCTTCTTCTCCATGCCACCTCCAGCCAGACTGAGCTGCGTTTGTCCCAAGAATTGCACCAACCGGCAGCCACTAAATGGTTGCTGTGAAGGTGTCTCTCCAGGGGCCGCTGGGGCTGGAACACAGAGCCATGAAGGGACAGCCTTTCCTCCCTCTGACGGCAGTGCACGGTATTCAGCAGCCTTGCGAATCACACTCAGGGCTCCTGGTGTCTGTGCTGGCTCTTGCAGAGAGGGGTGGGGAGCACCAGAAACTCCCCTTCCCACCCGCTGTCTCTGGTGTCCCCAAATCCACCCAGTGAGGTCCCTCTTTTGGTCTAATCCTTGCCTTCTAAGAAGTCTTCTTTCAAAAGAAGGACGCCCCTAAATAAAGCCACTTGCAATTACTGAAAGGTGACTATGTGCTGGCCACAGCGGGGCTGCCGGAGCGAGAGAGTTGCCAAATGACTTGGGCAGGCTCCTTCCCTCCTTGGGCCTCAGTTTCTTCATCTGTGAAATGGAAGGGTTCTGACAGACCCTAGTTTAGACTAAAGAGTGAGCACAAGATACTGAGTGTTGAACACAGTTCATTGGTTTTGTAACTGGCTGGCTCCATGAACCCCTATATGTTTTTTTTAAATAATCTCTTCCCTTAACTAACTACTAGAACTTTTTGAGTTGTTTCCCAGAAATGGTGGACTTTCTGCAAGACTAAGGGGTTGAGACTCTGAAGGCCCGTGAGCAAGATTCCCGATGCCAAGAATCACCATCCCCCGTGACCTGCCCCGAGCACACTACCTGCCCCAGTGCACGTGGCCCCTTGTCAGTTACTTCACAACCTGCCCCAGGCACGTAGCCCCTCCTTTAAAAAAAACCCTGTGGCCCATTACTCGAGGAGACAGATTTGAGCCAGCTTCCCCCATTTTCCCAACAGGATGTCGGTTTTATTAAAAACTCCTTTCGTCCTTGGCAATCCTCATTCTCTCCATAATTGGATCTCTGTGTGATCAGCAGCTGGACGCAGACCCAAACCCCCTCGCAGTTTCATTTTTTTTTAAATTTAATTTAATTTATTTTAATTTCAGCATCTTATGGGGGTACAAATGTTAAGGTTACGTATATTGCCCATACCCCCCTCCCCCTTTGAGTCAGAGCTTCCAGCGTGACCATCCCCCAAACGTTGCACATCTCACTCGTTATGTTTGTATACACCCATCCCCTCCTCGCAGTTTCGACACCAGTTTGATGGTTAGAGAGGAGTCGGGTGGCACAGACTCTGTCCTCACAGACAGGAGGTGGCCGGCCCTGAGCCCTCGAGGCTGGCCCGCTGGTGCGCTGACCAGGACTTCCAGGGCTGGTCGTGGCGAAAGGACTGGTGAGAACGACTCGGGCTCGGCTGGAGAAGGAACAAGAAGGGGAATGGCCAAGGCGGGGCCACCCACAGGACCCGGCCTGCGTGGGGGCCTGAGCCTGCTGTGGGCTCCTGGGCGGAGGGTCCCCCTTCCTTTCTCCCCTGTACCCCCATGCCTGGCACAGGGCGGGCCCACAGGCAGCATTAACGGAAGCACGAGGCATCCCTCTTGGTTGGAATGACCCATGACAGGACCTGCAGATGAGATGGGGCCAATGTCCCTTCTGGCTGTCCACTGCACCGGGCCTCCAGGCAGCTGCAGGGAGGGGAGGAGGCAGAGTCCATTAGCTCGGTGCTACTCTCTGGAGAGCATGCGGAGGGATTATCTGGCTGCTTTGCCGCCTCCTGACTTCCCGGGACCACCCCTTTGGGACGGGATCCAAGGAAGTGAGTGATCCCATCATTAGGCGTCGGGAGTTGGTAATCCTTCCACTCCTCCTCCGGGAGCCTTGGTGCGCGAGCCCAGCCTCGGAGCAGGCCATGGGCTGGGGGGCTTCCAGCCTGGGCTCTGCCTTTGACCCACAGTGTGGTCCGGGGCAAACCCACCCTCTTCTGGGCTGTCTTTCCCCACCTGTAAAACGAGCACTCTTTCATCTGGGAGTCTCCCAGGTCCGGTGTCCTCCGATGGCATGGGCCCAGCTCTGTCCCTGGACAAGCCCACTGGGCCCCACCCCAAATAGTTCAGCGTCGCCTCTCCTCCCCTGAGGCCAGGTGCTCTGGACGGGACTACGATGGCCCTGACTTGTCCGCAGTGGCAAATGGTAGCCAGCAGAAACGAGACATGTTGGTGGCCACTTGCCAAGCACAGATTGAACTGACTAGCAGTGGCCCTTTTTGGGGAGCATGGGGTAAGGTAGAAGCGAGGGGCAAGCAGAAGGAGAAGAGGGAGCCAGAAAAGTGTATTTTCTCAGGTCACAGTGAGAACAGTCACCACCATTTATGGAGGTCTGGATTAACCCAACGAGCACAGTACCAAGAGCTTTATATCATGTAGCAACTCAATTTGTCCGTAACATCGAGCACGTGTGACCCTCTGGGGCAAAGTCTAGACCTCGGGACTCAGAGAGTGCAGTTAGCATCTAGTGCAAGGCTGGGTAGAAGACGATGGGGGTGTACCCCATGTCCCCAGGGGGTCCCCAGCAGACCCCGCTGGAAGTGGGTATTTTAGACGGTCGTGGTGAGAGGGTCCTGAAACTTCACTGGGCTCAGTGGCTAAGAACATTGATCAAAAGCTCAGGCGTGCGAGAAAAGTGGAATTTTCTCAATTGTCCTGTCTCAATTTCTGTTTCTGGTCCCCATTCTACTGAGGCGATAGGCCCAGAACCCTGTGTATTTACGGCCCTCCCCTTGCTTAGACGTGTGAGTTCTGGGCACTCATGCAGATGTGAGGGTGGGTGGGGTGCTGCGTCCTCAATATCCCTCAGCTTCCCACACGTCCCCTGGCACCTGGCCCCCAGGTGTGGTCCCCGTAGGTGCTGCTGGACCTGCTCACACCGCCTGTGAGCCCTGCAGCTTGGCAGCACCCTGTGGCCTCCATGCCCGTCCTGGGCACCCACAGGACGTTCTGCTGCGTCAGCTGCAGAGCAGGGCATGAGCCGCATGAGACGCTGCCTGAGGCCCCCTCTGCCTGGAAACCTCCTGCAGCCATTTGTTTTCCAGAATCTTCCCTCCTCCCCAGCTCTTCCTGGGCCAAGAGCGCCGGCTTCCCTCTTCCTGCTCTCAGGAACCTATTTGGGAGTTTGGCTGCCTTCCCGGGGAGGGCGTGCGGGGCTTATCTCTCTGGGACATACTGACAACTCCATTTATGTCCTTTCCTTCAACCTCCCCCCTCCTCATCCTCCGGGAAACCCAGACACGGGGGCCAGGACACTTGCCCTCACTCACTGTGTAGCCTGCGTGTCCTTGATCAAAGACGTTCAGTCCTTTCTGTCTCCAAGCGGGCGTGGCTTTCTGGAAAGAGATGTCTAGTTTCTCTGTTTCCTGCAGCTCCACCCGCTCCCCGAGGAATTACACAGACCTTCAGGCTCTTCAGGAACACAGGCCCAGGGGAGGCAGGGTAGGAAACTGGAGAAAACTCTGCCTGTAAAGATAGAGGCAGGAGCTCCAGTGGAGGGACAATGCCAGGACCCCTGAGATTGAGGACCGGAGCCCAAGTCTCCATCCCAGGGCCATGGGGTGCTCCCCAAAACAGGGCAGCATGCCGGGCAGTCCTCCCACCACAGCTCCTATCTGCCCATGCCTGCAGACCCAGCAAACAGAAGGAGCTCCCCAGAAAGCCACCAGGACCCTGCTATAGAGCCTCCAAATCGGCTTGGTGCTGCCAAATCTGTTAGTAATTTGAGCAAGACTTTAAGGGGAATATGGAAGACCCAAGTGTGCATGCCGTGGGCCACCAGGAGGAAATCCGCCACCAGAGAGGATTTACAACCACAGCATGTTTCGGCTTCCCCTGGTGACAGACCTGTATCTCAGGTGGCTTCATGCTAATCTGGTGTGACCATGACTCTTTTACAGATGAGGACACGGAGGCTCAGAGGGGTGAAGTAATTTGTCCAAGATCGCCCACCAAAAGTAAGAAAGCAGGTCTGGTCCGTCTGGCCTCAAAGCCTGGGATCCCCCCAACACCTCCTTTTCTGGGGGCCTTTGCTCGGTGACTAAAACCTCTGGCCTCCTTCTGGGGAATTTCTCTGTGTCCTTCCTGGAGAAGGGAGGGGGCGCTCGATGGGGAGTGGGCTTCAAAGGCAGAGAGTGAGCCTGGGTTTTCTTTCTACCCCAGACGTGATCTAACATCTCCCCGAGCCCATCCCTGCACGAGTGGGTGAGAATTACCCCGGTGACCGCTGCCACTCACAGCATGCAGGGCACGGTGTCAGGGCAACGGCCAAGCGGACCAGACAGGAGACCTGGGTCCACCTCCGCCCTCACGGCAAGGACCTGCCAGGGGAGGGTGGGATGTGCTGTACACCTCCTGGGTGTGTTTCCAGCAGTGTGCCTGTGGGACCCTACACGCCACGCCTGGGGCCACTGACAGATGTCACAGGAACAGAGTGTCCTGTGGTCAGAGCGCCTGGGAAAGACTGAGTCAAATGAGGTTACTCTTGTTCCATTATCGCAGGAATCTTCAGAGCTGCAAATGTGCCATTGCACTTTGTTGCTCTCCCGGGGAGCTGTAGAATCCAGGGCCCTGTAACTTAGTTTAGCTTGAACTGGCCTCTTCTTCTGTAGTATGACAGGTGCCACTTGTCTTTGTCAGCATCCTTTGGGGAAACAGGCTCTGGTGCCTGTTAGGATAGAATCCTCAGGAAGGATGAGCAGATAAAGGATGCTGGTCTAAGGGGCGGGTGGTGGTGGTGGTGTCTCAGGCCTGGGGTTCAGGGAGGAAGCTTCTGGCAAGGGTGTGCATGTCCTGGGCTCTGAGAGAGGGTGAGACTTTGGGGGGGGGCTGCTGGGTGGCAGGAGGGTCTTGCAGAAAAGCTGGAGCCAGTGTTGCAAGCTGGGGCACTTGAGGGTGGAAGGTGTGAACGGCACACGTGCAATTTGGCCAGAGCTACTCAGCCTGTTTAAAAGGAAGAACCAACACATCAGGTTGGCGAAGGAGGTTGCATCTGCTCTTCTTACGGCTCAGGTCTCATCACAGTTGAGTGCAGTGTCTGCTCCGGGGCTCATATTTTCAGACACTTCGATGCTGGCTTCCGGTGGCCCGCTGACCCCAGCAGTGAGATGGCCGCCCGGCAGAGAAAGCAGCTCTGCGCAGTCCATCAGGCTCCGGTCTCCTCTTTGCAGTGGGCGGTTTCCCGCCGAGCACTTCTTTCTGGTAGGTGGGTGGCACCTTCTCCATTCTCTAGTGCCCTGAAATCACAGAGATCTCTGCTTTGCTCAAAAGCCAGGAGAGCAGAGAAGGAAGTACGCGTTTGAGATCCTGGAAAACTTGGATGTGCACAGCCGAGACAGCGAATCTGCTAATGGAAGCTCATCTGGGATCCTGCCAAATGGGAGAAGGAGACCTGGGGCCAGGAGCCGGGGCGACGGGAAGGAGCGGAGTGGTAGTGGGTTATTTATACTCCACTGCTGGCACTGTCTGCCCGAGCTCTTTCAGCTCGAGGAAACGCTCCCATGCCCGAGACAGACATCTGATCGTTACAGTTCCATGTTTGAAGACAGTTTCAGCCTCCTGCAGACACACATAAAATCTGCATCCGCCGCCCAGGATGTGGGACATAAAAGTTCTTTAAGAGGGTCGTAGACCTTCCCGGGATGGAATCCAGGCTGTTGGTTGGCACCGGGCGGGCTCCTGCGCCTCGGCTCACACGGGTCCTGCCCGCTCTACCTCCGCTGTCTGCCCACCTGGCAGGACCCGCCCATCCTTGGAGGCCCACCGGACCTGTCTCTCGCCGGGGCCCACGCTGGGTCTTCCCTCCCTGCCTGTCTCGGGACTTCCTCTCTGTGCGTGTTTCCCACCGTTGATTTAATTCACTTGCTGTTCTGTTGTGCCTCCTCAGTCCCCAGTTGCCTCTTGTGTACATAACCGTATATTGAATGGGCTGAACTCGACGGGGCACGAACAGGAAATGGCTTTATTTTTCTCCCTTCGATGGTTTCGAACACGCCTGGCTGGAGCTCCCCCACCCCCGACAGCATCACAGGCGTGCGCCAGAGCCTGCCAGTCAGCTGCAGGGATAGAAAGAAGCTTCCTCTCGATATTAAACACGTGCAGCCCCGCCCGTGTGCAGCCTCCCTGGCCATCCGGTTTGAAGTTTCTCCGTCCCAGCATCTCGGGCCTGGACTTGCCCACCGGTGGGGACCTGCAGGGACCTGGGCGTGGGCTGTTGCCCGTTCTTTCTCTCTCTCCCTTCTTTATGTCCACTGTGAAGGACTGAGTCGTGTCCCCTCAAAATACATGGTGAAGCCATAGCCCCAGTAGCTCAGAGTGGGACCTTACTTGGAGATAGAGTCTTTGTAGGAGTGAGCAGGTTAAAATGAGGTCCATAGGGTGGTCCCTCACCCAGAATGATGTTTCCTTATAAAAAGGGGAAGTTTGGACATGGAGACACACCGGGAGAAGGGAGCCACGTGGCTGAGCGATGCCCCCCCAGGCCAAGGAACACCATTGACTGCTGGCGGCCACCAGGGGCTGGAAGAGACCAGGGAGGACCCTCCGTTAGAGCTGGCGGAAGGAGCATGGCCTGCAGAAACACCACAAAACACCCTGATCTGGGACTTCCGGCCTCCAGAACTGTGAGCCGACACATTTCTGTTATTTTAAGCCACCTAGTTACGGCAGCCTTAGGAGACGAACACAAGCACACCTGTCTTCCTCCTGGCTTCTCCAGGGCCAGCCAAAGCTGCACCCTCCCTTTCAGGATGGCCACTGCTGCCTGCTTCTCTCTTGGCGTTCAAGCTTTCTGTCGAGGCAGGCACCTCAATGCTGGTGTTTGGTGGACCTTCCTCTGGGGCCTCTGGGGCCCCGTCACAGTGCCGGCACCTGTGCACCTGCTATGGTCTCCTCTGGGCCCAGGAGAGCCTCCTGTTTTCTCTCCAGGGCACAGGGGCCTGCAGGCTGCACTTGGCCTCACCCCGCTCCACCCAACCTCCTGTCCGGAATCCTCAGGCGGTACAGCCTCAGCCCCTGCTCTTACTAAGTGTCACCCCACCCCTGTGGGATGTGGGATAAACTCTTCTGGAAATATCTGTGCCTTGGGGCTGGGCTTGGGGTTTCTGCAGGGCCGTGGGCCTGCAGCAGAGGAAGGAGGCAGCATTCTCCCCTCTCTTTAGGCACCCCGGTCTCGGCAAGAGGCTCTCTAGAGCCCCCGCCACTGGCTTGCAGGACTGCAGGGAGAGGTAAGGTCATAGCTTCTCATGTAACACAGAGCTTCCTCGTGCATTCAGTAAGTTCCCTCTCTTCTGCTCAAATAGCGTGTATTTGGGCTGAGGAGGTGACAGGTAGGCAGTGTAGACACCTCTCAACAAATCCAGGACGAGGGATCCTGGCAACCCTCACTGGTGCTATAGAGGTACCTGTCACCCACCCACTGTCCCCAGCTTCGGGGTTTCAGGGGAAGGAGTCCCCTTCCCATCCTGTTCCGTGGAAGAACACATCCTACACATATGAGCTTGGCAACTCTGGGCACACGGGCCACACGCTCCACTCTCCTCTACCTTCACCTTCACCACTGGGCAAGAGACAGCCCAGGCTCTGGAGTCCCTGGACCCAGGTTCAAGTTCCTGCCCAGATATGCCCTGAGCTGTGGGTCGTAGGTGAGCGACCCAGCCTCGGTTTCCTCTGCTTTCACACGGGAAGGTCACAGACTAAGTGCCTGCCGCGGAGTCAGGCACAGTGACACACCCAGCCACTGCCTCGGCGTTTGGGGCTGGCCAGCACCCTGCAGCAATGACGGGAGTGTGGAGCTGACCCTTTGGTGAGCAGCAGCAGAGCTCGTCATACGTGATCCAGGTTGAGGATCCCTGTCTGGACGCCCACTGGCTTATGCCTGAATTGCACGGCATTGTTTAGCAGGGGAACTGCAGGAAAAGACCAAAAAGATACTGGTGGCCTGTTGGGGACCTTGAGCCATATGAGATCGGGACTAATCGGCTTAGCACTTTGAAAAGCCCAGACCTAAATTCCTGGGGGATTTTTGCCCCCACACGCCCTTCCCACAATCCACTGGGCCAAATGCAACTCCACCTAGGACTTTTTAAGTTAAATCACTTTTGTGCATTTAGCAGTGTGCTGCCGTGTAGCCGCGGTGACTCTTAAAGTTGACTAATACTCACATTTTAAAGGGGGAAAAATTATTGCAGACCCCCAGTGTGGACTAAAATTATTTTGATCATATTGTTACTTAAATATATACAATCATAAAAGTAAGTATAAATCCCTTATGCTTTTAGCTCTTACACAGCTATAAAACCAAAACACAATTACAAATTAAATGCAAATAAAACTGCAAAACCATTAAAATTCAAATTAATGGCATTAATTTAATGTGACAGATGATGTTTTGCTGAAAGTAAAATAACCAGTGTTGGGTTTAATAATAGAAGGATGTATTCCCATTTTAACTTCTGCTTGTTATCAACTAGATTGTTTTGATGTTTGAACATGCTGGGCCATCATTAGCGTTATTGTCAATATTATTATATTTTTCATGTATTGAAATGGACAAACTTTTAAACACACAGAGACCTAGGATTTTGATGGGCCATTCAACTTAATAGAGTACCTTAAAATATAATAACTTAAAAAATATAAAAATAAATACCATGCAGCAAGATGTTTTCCAGTTTTCTACTTACTGTTAGTGCTGTCTTGCAAGTTGTTACAAAGCACTGTGGCGTTCACTCAGGCACCTGCTTGCAAAGCGGTGACTGCACTTCCGCCGGCTTCAACACGGAGCTGCTTACGTGTGGCTTATCTGTGTCCCAGTTCTGTTTGACGACTCAATCTTCCCTCCACTTATCTCTATTTGAACAATCGCTAAACCTTTGTTTGTACAGCAGCCCATGAAGTCATTTGGCCTTCGTTTTGCAAAAACGTGATAGTAAACCCCAGTGCAAATGTGAGCCCTGCGTTCCCCGGGCATTATTTGGTGATGATGTCACTGTCCACACACAACCGCGACAGGCCTTCTTCAATATTTTTCACTTTCTGAAATAAAAATATCAAATTAAAAGATTCTCATGTCACTCAGACGTCCCTGATAGCACACCTGTGGGTCCCACTTTGAAATCCCTGGTGCCATAAAAAAGATGTCTGGTGTGAGGGCCTAGGCTAGAGCTCTGGTTCTAGGTCCTTCACTGACCCACTGTGTTCTATTCCGTGAGTCAACTCCCTGCCCTCCAGACGTCATCCGTTCATCAGCACTAACTGCGTTATGTTCTGGTCCTTATCACACTGGCAAACTCCTGAGGTTAGTGTGACTGTCCTCATTGGATGGAGGGGGGAAACTGAGACCCAAGTACACAGCCGGCGAGGCTGCAGATGGGGCTCAGAGGCAGAGCTGTCTGACCCCAAAGGTCCCCCAGACCCCTGCCGGGTCCCCCAGGCTGCCCCTGGAGAGCTTCAGTCCCCCGAGGGGCTCGTGCCATGGGACTCATGCCTCCTCTCGCCCACAGAGCACAGTCCTGGAGAAGGTGGGAGCACAACCTTGCTTCATCCCTATCATGCCCCGGGACCCCATCAGCCCACTGCTCAGCTCTGGAGAAACCCCTGCCACCCCAAGTGACAAGGACGTTTTTCCAAGTAACTATCGGGCACAGGTCCTCACAAATGAATTTTCCTGATGGGCGAATTCATATTTACCTTTTTTTTTTTTTTTTTTTTTGGTGAAAAAACAGATGTAAATCTTTAACTCAAATCCCATTTTATACACACACGTGTATACATACATGCACACATATATGTATACATACATATACCTGTGTGTACATGTATGTGTGTGCATGTGTACTTCCCTTGGTGGACAAGAATGAAATTTGGAAATGGAATTGGGGCTGTGCTGGAAACACAGGATTAGTGGCTGCTTTTTCGCAGCTAAGGCAGCTCCATTAGGGAAGAGTCTTGAGAGAGCAGCTGTCTCCCTGGGCCCCTTGGCACTGACCTCTCCAATCCTTGGTGCCGGGGAGACTGTAGCTGAGGCTCCTCCCTGCAGAAGCCATAAAGACTCCCTATCTTATCTCAGAGCCCTGCAGCCCTGAGCTCCTCCCTCTTTCAGACTGGACGCGTGTGTGTCTGCAGCCTTGACAGATAGAGTGGTGTCCAGGGCTGTCTGCGATTCTGGTTCCAGTGGGACATTCCAGGCTGGCCCTATGGAACTGTGCCTTTGCAGTCGCTCTATTCAAAGGCAAGGAGGCAATCTTTAGGGAGGACTGCCTTTAACAACCAATCCCTCCTCCTCATGGATCTTAGATTTTTAGAAGATTATTTCTTCTAGAGGGAGTTTAAGTGATAATGAACTCATTCTTTCATTTTTATTAAACAAAGACATTCATACTTGACCATCAGAGATCCTAATTGGCATGTGGCTCATGCATATGAGACCTGCAGAGTTGGTAGGATAGCAGCTAAAACAAAGACATTTGACATTTTAGTTATGCATGCAGCCTTGCTCAGGGCACATGTACAATGATCATTAAGCTGTTTGAAATAGCGACATTCCAGCATTTCTGTGTCGAATATACTGGTCCACCAATCCGACATTGTATCCCAGGAGAACTCAGGAATGGGGAGGTGAATGCAAGTCCAGCTACGCTTGTTCCACTGTAAGAAACCCCTACCAGTTGTTGGACAACAAGGGGATAGGTAGGCGTTTGCTCTGAGGGGTTCCTGATCCATGAACCAAGCCAGTTATTTGGTTATGTACAGCCTAGTGGATGTTCTCATTCTTTAAACTGGCTGCCATGTATAGAGAGTGGACAAGAGGCACAGACTAACCAGGGCCACCTTAAGGTGTCAGTCTAAGGATACAGGCCTGTCTCCTGGGGACTCTGTCGTCCAGGGTATTTGCCCTGACAAGGACTGCCAGGGATCATACCAGTTGTTCCTGGGGCAGAGTGACAGGGACCTCATGTCACAGGGCACAGGGGCTCCTGGGCTGGGCTTTGGAGGACAGCAACCAGCCCGACTCTAGCTCTCTGACCTGTCCCCACTCCGTCACTCTCTGTCTACTCCACATGTTTGTGCTCACCTGTCACCTGTCAGCTGGCCCTGGCCCTGGCCCTGGGAATTCCAACCTCCTGCTCAGCTCTCTGCTGGGCACCTTGGTCTAGGTTCCCTCGAAGCTCCCTCCTGAGCAGCCCCTGGCTTAGGGTAGGTGCTCAATGAGTACCTGTGGGTCACTCATGGAGGCCTCCCTGGCCCAGCCGCCCCTTGCTCGTAGCCTGGGGCCCTACGTCGCGATGGAAATCAGATCTGCAACCTTGGGCTGGCCACAGTCACGCTCTGTCCAGTGAGGGTCCTGTCTAACTTTTCCTGTCTTTTCTCAGCACAGGCTTGGGCTGTCACCTGAGAGAATTTAGGGGACAGTACAGATTCCCAGACCCAATGATTCACTCAGATCGGTCTTCGCAGACCCTTCTGCTGGCAATGTCAGGTCAAGCCGCTCCTCTAGCAGGACAGGAGCAATTATTGGAAACATAAATTCATCGTGGTCGGTAGGTTCTGGCTGGAGACTAAGCATCTTTACCTGGCCATTGCCTCTGAGGCCTCCAGCCTGCCTGGGCCTCTGGGAGGAGCAGGGGTCGAAGCCAGGAGTCAATCGTATGAGTGGCAAGCCTGGCCAACGCAGGGCTGATGCCAGGGAGAAAGGCCGTGTGCCCATCCCTGCGGCCAGGAGAATTCTTTAGCTGGATCTTGGTGGGGGCAGGTGATGCAGGCTGAGTTCTCCAGGAAGCAGACTCTGGCTGAGAAAAAGGAGTTTATGGTGCATGATGCTTACTAGGAATGTCTTTGGGACAAGGGCATGTGGGACAGGGAAGGAGGAGAGGAGAAGTTGGGGCAGAGGAGAAGTTGAGCTGAGATGATGCCCGATGGCAGCCTTGGCTGACACCATGGCAGCGCTGGAGCTCAGCTGGCCCCAGAACAGCCCACGTGGGGCTCAGCCAGCCCGGCTTCTATACCTCACCTCCCTCGGTCACTGGGTGTAAGCCATCCAAGGAAGGTCGTTACCTCAAACAAGGCAGCTCTCTGGAGCTTGGCCAACACTGGGAAAAAGAGTCCTTCTCAGAAGGGATCGGGTCGGGGGGCGGGGCCGTGTACACCTCCACATCCGTCACGGTGCCGCAGTGGACAGTCTTGCTGGCAGGAAGCTGTGGACAGTGACAAACATCATCATGAAACTGAAAACCACGTCCTGATTCTGAAATGAAGATGAGAGGGACAGGGTTTAGGTTAAGTTCAAATCAGATCCCAAAGAGCAGCCAGGGGGCCACAGGCAGGATCAGCTCCCCGGGGAGGGGCAGGGAGTCGTGGAGACCAAGCAGGACCCCAGGCAAGCTGGGGGGTGCTGTGGATGAATAATCGCTACCACTCCGTGCAATGGAGCCAGCTGGGCAGGGCAGGGATTAATGCTACAGGAGGTGCATTAATGAGCCACCTTTCCAAATACGCCCAGTGGGCTCCCCAGACATTTAGAAGAGGTTGCACCTCAGTGTAGAACAAAGATGCCTTGTGACCTTATTTCCAGTGCCGAGAAGGTCTCTGACTTACTCTCCTCTTCCTCCTGATATCTGTATGAAGACCGCTGATGTTCTCAACCTTTCATTCATCTACTATCCAACAAAATGTATCAAGTACCTTTATGTGCCTGTAGCAATTCTGTGCAAGGGAAAAGAGTAGTGACAGGACAGACCTGCCTCCATAGAGCTTATACTTCAACAAGGGAGAGAGACAACAGACAAAGCACACGGCACGTGAGCCGGTGCTGAGTGCCATGAAGAAAAGTGCGTAAAGGAAGGGGAGTGCCCTGTGGCGGGCCAGGTTGGCAAGTTGGTACAGTGTGGCGGGGCAAGGACCCTGGGAGGAAATGGTGTTGGAACGGGGACCGAAGGCAGGGAGGGAGCATGCTCTGCAGATGTCTGGGGGGAACCCCGGATGGGTGGGAAAAAAGGACAAATGGGCCGTGCTGGAGTGGGGAGTAGGTGTGGCGTGTCTGAGGGAGAGGAAGGGGCAGGGGAGGGTGGCGAGGCTTCAGCGCCTGGTCTGCGTGAGCCCAGGAAGCAGGCATGGCAGGATCCGACTTCGGAGCTAAAGGGATGCTCCGGTGCAGAGTGGAGGGTCGACCAAAGGGCGAGCGCGGGAGCAGGGAGATGAGGCGGGAGGCTGTTGCAGCAGTCCTGGGACGGGTGGTGGAATCGTAAACTGGGGGGGCAGAAGACGTCCTGGCTCGGATGCTGGCTCTGTTTTAAGGCGCAGGCCACAGGATCTGGTGAAGGATTGGATGTGGACTTCAAGAGAACCAGAGGAGTCAGCGTGATTCCAGCATCTTTGGCCCAAAGGATGGTCAAGGCACCAGCGGCCTCTAATTGACGTTCTTTTTGGACACTCTAAGTCTGACGTGTGTTTGAGGCACCACGCGCGTATAAGAATCTGGAGTTCAGGGGGGAAGCCTGGCCTGGTGAGAAAGATTTCCGAGTCCTGGTGGTACATCCACAGCTGTGAGGACGGAGGGGCTCCGCTCGGGCTGTGCTGTCCA